TAATGTTAAAAATTTTCTTTTTTCATCATCAGCTACTGTCTATGGTATACCTAAATATTTACCACTTGATGAAAAACATCCATGTATTGGTGATGCTATTACTAATCCATATGGTAAAAGTAAATACATATGTGAACATATTCTTAAAGATACAATAGTTGATCATCCTGTTCGTATTTTAAAATTAAAATAATCTATTTTTTTTTGTTTTTTTATTTTTGTTAATTTATTTAGAAATGGAATATCATTCTTCTACGTTTTTTTAATCCTGTTGGTGCTCATAAAACAGGTTTAATTGGTGAAGATCCTATTGGTAAACCAAATAATCTTATGCCATACATTGCATAAGTAGCTGTTGGTCGTTTACCAAATGTTAATATTTTTGGTACTGATTATGATACTCTAGATGGTACAGGTAAACATAAGCAAATAAAAATAATTTATCTTCTTATCATTAAAAAACTATTGAATTTGTATAGGTGTTCGAGATTATATACATGTTGTTGATGTAGCTATACGTCATATTGCAGCAATGAAACAATTTGAAATGAATTGTGGTTTAAAAGTTAGTAATAGATAATGATTTCAATTTTTTTTTTATTCTTTCTTATTTAGATTTATAATCTTGGTACTGGTAAAGATTATTCTGTATTAGAAATGATTAAAGCATTAGAAAAAGCATCAGGCAAAACCATATCTTATAAAGAATGTTCTCGACATCCAGGTGATCTTGCAACTGTTTGTTTATGCTGATCCAACATTAGCAGCTCAAGAACTTGGATGGACAGCTCAACGAAATTTAGATGAAATGTGTAAATAAGTTTTTATTTTTAAGTACAGATTTAAAATTATATTTTTTTCTTTTATAGGCGAAGATTTATGGCGTTGGCAATCGAATAATCCAAATAGATTTCAATAGAATCTCATACATAGTATTAATTTAATACATCTGTAGAAGTTAAATTAAAAAAAAAGAGAATCTCTTTCTATTTATAAACGCATTTAGTCAATATTTACATCTACTTATTTATGATGTTTTAAATGAGTAATATTTACATTCAAGAGCCAGCTACTCGTGGCAAAGTTGTTTTAGATACAACTGTTGGTGATATTGAAATTGTACGGAATTTTGTATTTTTTTCTTTTTACAAACGGCACTACAAAAGTTTTTTTTTCATCAAGTCTTAGTTCTAGATATTCGATCAACGTATAATTTCATATGATTTTGTACACCGAATCTCTTTAGTTTTCTTATTTTGTATTTTTAATAACTAGAACATTGAACTTATTACGAAATATCCAATCTCAATCCTAACCTGTTCACCTATGTAACTAATCGAAATGAAATATAAGAATAAGATATTTTAGAAAGTTTAGAAGTTCAACAATTGATCTCAATGTACAACATTTAGGAAAGTCGGACGAATAAAAAAAAAAACACTTTTGTAGTGCCCTATATAATAAATGTGAAATAG